TCTCCCGGAGTAGTCTGAGTCCCTAGAGACTCGCCCAGATCTGGAGCTCAGAGTCTGAGACTCCCTCCTGATTGAAAACGACAACCGCGCCAGCCACCAGCCACCTGAGTTTTTTCCACACTGCGCCTCCTCTGAGCCTCGGTGTGCTGTTATTTTTCCTTCTAGTTGAAGAGTCTCTCCTCAGCCAGCCTTCCTGTGGTTCTGGGTGATGTCCGTTCCGTCTTTTAGTTGTATTTTTGAAGTGGTTGTTTGCGGCAGCAGTCTCCGGTGTTTACCTATGCCGCCATCTTGGTCTCCTCCTCTTTCCTGGATTCTTGCAGTAGCCTCCTAACTGGTCTTCCTGCTTCCACTTTTGTTCTCCCACAATCTGATCCACAAAGCAAACAGAGTGATCCTTTGTTGTTGTTGTTGTTAATCCTCATGGAGGATATTTTTTACATTGATTTTTAGAGTATAGAAAGGAGGGGGGGAGACAGAGAGAGAGGCGCATTGATTGGTTGCCTCCTGCAGGTGCCCCAACCAGAGCCAGGGATTGAGCCTGCAACCAAGGTACGAGGACCCTTTAGTCCACGGCCAACACTAATCACTGAACAAACCAGCTAGGGCCAGAGTGATCCTTTGCAAGGGTAAGTCAATCACACATCGTACCAACTATTTAGAATTCTGCTTATCAGAACTTTAAAAGGTCTCCCTCTATCTCTCTAACCCCATGCCATTTATATTCCCTCTTTTTAAGAAATATATTTTATTGATTTTTTACAGAGAAGAAGGGAGAGGGATAGACAGAAACATCGATCAGCTGCCTCCTGCACACTCCCTACTGGGGATGTGCCCGCAACCAAGGTACATGCCCTTGACTGGAATCGAACCCGGGGCCCTTGAGTCCGCAGGCTGACGCTCTATCCACTGAGCCAAACCAGTTAGGGCTGTATTCCCTCTTACTCACTCTACTTCAGCCTCTAGCTGCCCGGATGTGGCAAGTTTGTCTTGCTAGGACCTTTGCACCTGCTATTTCATCTGCCTTCCCCATCTTTTGTTTTCCTTATTCTTGTCCTGGAGAACACAGCTCAAATGTCAGCAGAGTGGACTTCAGTTTGAGACACTGAAGTAACAGCCTACCTGGTTTCTGCCTCTACCAACGCCCGCCCCCTCCAGAATGTAAGCTCCATAGAGCAGAAACAAAGGCTGTCTTTTTCATTACTGTATTCCCAGCGCCTATAACAACAAATCTGTCTCTCCAACATACCAGGTACTGAATCAGTATTTATTAAATTAATGTCGAGTGGATTAGAATAGAGGAAGAATGGAGAAGGCCGCCAAACATTAAGGCACCAGGGGCCAATTATTATGCGTTTGCAGTAATCCAGTGGGAAATGACGAGACAGTAGCAGTGGTTTTCAACCTTGGCTGTGCATTGGAATCATCTGGGGAGTGATTCTTAAAAACCCTGACGCCTGTGGACCATCCTCAGAGATTCTGATTTAACTGGTGGATGCAGCCTAGGCATCAGGATTTTTAAAAGCTCCACCACGTATTCTACGTATTCTACGTGCAGCCAAAGTTGAAACCAACAGCAGAGTGAGTGCAGGGGTGTTTAGAATGTATCATAAGTAGGACATGGTGGCTAATTTTGAATTGAAAGTGGCCAAAAGGAGGGTTTCCTGGGAAAAATCCTAGATTTCTGCCTTGGGCCTGGGTGAATGAGACAGGCAAGTTTTGAGAAACAGATAAATTCTGTCTTGGACAGACTAAGTTTGAGGTGCCTTTGGGGATTCAAGTGGAGATGTGCAATAGATTTGTTTCTTGATAGACTTACGTTGCCTTAGTGAAGAGTAGGAAATCCCTCTACTTTTCAAGAAGACAAGCAGGAAGAGACATCCTGGAAAACATGACAATTGCACAGTGTGCCAGGCCACTCCCACCCAGCACAGCCTCTCTACTCAAAACCCCCTTCCAAGCCCAAGCCCCATCTGTTCTGAAATGCTGTTCAACATGTTGACATATTTTCAAGAAGGATTACATTATGTATGAGTACTGTTCCATAAATCCATTTAAATCACTATTCTTGTACTACCTTTAGGCTTAAACTATCCCTTTGATTAAATTGCTGGCAGCCTTCAAATAGCATTTAAAGGAATATACGTCTAACAGCTTAAAAACTTCCAATATATGAAAATAAAACATGCCCACCTTTACTTCCTTTTAGTTTCATCGTTAAAGATACTTAAATTGCCTCGCTTGTTTAGTTTTCTAATTGGTAAACATTTACTGGGTTACCAAAGACACCAAGTACCATCTGAAAGACCATGATTCCTTGGTTTGTTTCTAATTTAACTTAGACACACTAACACAAAGACCGAAAGGGCGATATATTTAGTTAAGTAACAGATGGCAAAGGGACATTCTGTCCAGCATCTATCACATTCCATTTCTCAGTATTCCAAGGAAGAGTAAACTTAAATCTTGAAGAGAAATAAACTAGGAAGGAATGGACCAGGTCTGGACTGAATATTTACTCAACTAAGAATTGATAGCAAGTCATGCTTAGGTTAAAAAAACTCAAAGGGGATATGAACTGGCTTAAAGAATACAAGGGGGTGGCCCGGCTAGTGTGGCCAAGTGGTTGAGCATGGACCTATGAGCCAGGAGGTCACGGGTTCAATTCCCGGGTCAGGGACATGCCCAGGTTGCCGGCCGGTGTGGGATGTGCAGGACGCAGCCAATCAATGACTCTCTCATCATTGATGTTCCGCTCTCTCTCTTTTCCTCTCCCTTCCTGAAATCAATAAAAAATATACATATTTTAAAAAAAGATGAGGGGATGGAACAAAGCTAAAGTAATTCCGAATGTATCACTAAGAACTGAAATATGAATTCTCAATACTTAAACGACTTTGAGAAATTAGGAAAGGAAAAAAAGTCAGCGGAAAATATTCCCCGAGCCCTTTTGTAGGGTGTTAAATTGTGGCTCAGGCTGCTCCCCGCAGCCCCCGCGGAAGACTGAGGTCTATTGACACTAACCGGGCGCGGGCGGGGGCGCGCCTCCCTCCGGGGAGGGACATTCCCCGGCGGACGGCGGATGGTGGACGGCGGA